GGGAAAGATACTATTAGCCTAAATCAATCCCTTAATCACTCAGCTTCAGATGATAGAACTGTTTAAAAAAAGTCTCATCTTTGGCATTTACCTGTGGATCAAGATCTTTATCAAACCATAAGAATTTGCATTCAATAAAGCAACTGAATTTCTCATTGTACAGATCAAGTCCAGAAATCCGTGTCTAGCAGATAAAACTGAGTGGGAAGAAGCTGTTACAGTCATATTGTTCTTCCAACAAGAGGCTAAAAAGTGCCATCAGAAGCCAAGTTCCAGGAAGCCTCCAAGACTCAAAGAAAGTGTTCAATATACCTGCACATCTCCTCAGAGTCACACCCTTTTTCTCTAACAGAATGCTCTCATGTGGCAGGAAGACAGCTCGAGTCATTGAGACTTAATTGCCCCTTTGTTTTGGGAGGGAACACATTTTGCAAAACTATGAAGCAGTTAAGACCCACTTCAAGGGTTAGTTTGGTCCTCAAGCTCTCCACACTTACACTGTGCTGTTCAGACTTCTGCATTTTAAGATCTAAAAGGACAGAGAAAAAAGATCTTACTGTTCTCTCCCCAATCTATTTTTTCTTCAGTCAGTGCTATAAAAAAAAGCCACCACACCCAAACAAATCCAACATCTGTCACAGGCAAAAGAAACAAGGAATACCAAAAAGACTCAAATTTTATTGTTTCTTCATCTGTAAAAGGCAGCCAAGTCTCCTCTACTGACCAAGATGTGCTGTGCTATTTAAACGGAGATTACAGTACAAAAGTATTGTCTTCCTACATAGATTTCCTCCTCAAAGAGCTTATTTTATGTATAAAATTAAAACAACCTCTGTTAAAGCCTATGCTTATTTTAGGCAATTACAAACTTTACTTTGAGTCAATGAGTCCTCAAATAAATGGACAATGCTTTTTGAATCGCATACACACCAGGAGAGACAATATCTTACTTGCAGGTCACAGTTTTAAATCACAATGCCATACTGAGCATAGTTTTCCATAAAATATATTGAATGCAGTACAAAAGCCTTTGCCTTAACTTTTACTCTTGTTCTATGCAGTATCTGCAGAAACCAATGTCTTAAACTCTCCTGCCTTTACAGTTTTTAATCAGTTTTTCAATTCTGAATAGAGTAATAAAGTTTATTTTCCTTTTTCAGTCTCTAAACAACTCTGAAGCTAGAAAGGAGGAAAACAGTTTATTTAAAAAACTTGGGAAAATTAAGCCAAGTTTTTCAGTGTCTGGAGATAGACACTCAAGTGTAGACATTAGGAAAAAAGTATATTGTCTACAAGATTCAGAGTCCATGTAGTCGAAACCTAAAGGATTCTGAAATGAGTTAGGTACCCTCTCAGTTTCCACATCTGTGGAATTTCTGAAAGCATTTTTTTTCCTAAATATCTAGTACACAATGACTTAAAAGAAAATGTCAAGACTACTGAATTTTAATATATTTTAAATTTAATGCATTTATTGGAAACCAAAATACTATTTTATCAACATTTTCATTCAAGCTTAAAGCAAGGCATACATTGCAATGTCACCCTTCAAATATAGGATGAAACGAAATATAGTTGCATAAAGCTAAAGATTTCCCCTGGCTGACAAGAATGAGGGCCTAATTACACAGAAAGGGTGTATATTTAGTTGCAAATCAACTTTGAAGCATTATACCAACCAGCAAGGAAAAAATCCTTTGTGAAAATACCATCAGCAACAGAAGACTAGAGAACTGAAATCAACGTTTCTACCTTTCCGGTTTAAATTATGTAATCTGAAGTGGGTGATTAAGGTCAGGCCACGCTCATTTAAAAACCACCTAAGAACAGTAAGACAAGATCTAAATTATACCTGTCCTTGGCACAGCGTGCATTCTTACCAAGCTGAATGCTAGACATAGAACACAGTTCAAGAGGAGTGATCTTGAGTAGTGAAAAACCTGTACACCTTCTCATGTCTTAAAGAACACAAACCTGGAAAAATGTGGTGCTTCTGCTAACAGGCAAATTAATTCTGCAGTAGCTTCTGAACAATCTCCAAGCACAAACCTTCACAGGCACACAGCAATACTGCAGTCTAGAAACACAAGGCTTGCATATATGTGGTGAGATCTCTCTTGGGAAAACACACGGAGCTTCTGCACCCAAAACAAATCTGTGGGACATGTAGCTGAGAAAGACTCCACCTGGTATTTCCTCACACCTAACACCATCATATGTAAGTGATGCCAAGTCTGTTAATGGGTATCTAGGCTGTATTCTCATCACATGCCACAACTGTCTTGCATAAGGGATCCACATATAGATAAAAAATGGCATGCCTTCCCCACTGACTCATACAAGCATACCGAGTAAGAGCAGTGAAAAATATCCTTGTGCAATGTCACAAGGGAAGATAGGCAGAATGGTTATTCCAAACCATACCTGGGTTTGTGAAGGAAAAACCTGCAAAAGCAAGCTCCTGCCTACTCATCAGTAGTTCCCAAGAGCTTTGGGCAATGACACAGGTCCTGCTAGAAAAAAGAACCAGCACACACATCTATGCAAAACAAGACATGCACCTGTGCTTGTCTTCCTCATTGGAATAAACTGATCCACAGAACACATGAACCAAAACAATCCATGTGACTTAATGTCAGCAAACTGTTTCAGCCATCACTAACTCCTTTAGATGCCTCAGGATATTCTTCTACTTGGGTTGTTCTCTGTAAAAGCTAAATAGATCAGAACTTGAACTGTTCATGGAGTCCTCACATCCCTCCTCTGCTTCTTTAGAGAATATTCTTTTATCTCTCCAACAGAAGCCAGTTCACAGCTGCCCGTTATCTTTACAGAAGGCCCAAGGGTAGTATTGTAGAATCACAAACTGATCATCTTGTAACATTCCCTCTGTAAAACATTTTACCTCATTATCAGCACTCTGACTCACTGCCCCATATTTCTGTGCGACTGCTCTACAGCCAGGTGCACCATTACTATAATACAGCCAGACCAAACCACTATGTTCCTATAACTCATGTAAGATTACAAACAATCCAAATCTGAGGCTATGATGGAGGAAAAAAAGAAAAAAAAAATCTAATGCTCCCTTTTAAATTGAGTAGGCAACATTCAGAGGGACATGATGAAGCCCAGCTTCTGAATGAAGGATGTCCCATTGCTACCCATTTTAGTTACACAGTGATTCAGGTACATTAATTGTTTGTAGATACTTAAACTTATGATTAACTTTAGGGAGCTTTACCCTGATAGATGCCAAGAACAGAACAGTTTAGTGTACCCACTGACCCCTAATGAGACTCAAATTTGTAATTATATAGATTTGTATTAATTTTATTATACATGTTACAGTGAACATGGATACTAGGCATTTTCTGTGTTGTCTTCACAACACTGTACCAGTGTTACTCTTCATCTCCAGCATACACAGATGTCACTACAGAACAGCTGCAATGCAGAGGTCATTATAGGATCAACATACCTGGATGACCAACTCTTTCTGCTCTTCAAACACGCAGCACCACAATTATAATAAAGGAAACACCCACCCTGTTTCATACACAAAATGGCTTCCTAGTGTTGCATAAAATCATTAAATTTAAAATGTTACACCTGTGTGCGTGTTTTGAAATCTGTAAGCATAGAAACCTCAACCAGGTGATTGCAGTTTAGAAACTAGAGAAACTTGAAACCTGTTATGCACCAGTGATGCTGTTTGAAAACCCCTTATTCCTCTTATTCTGGTTTGAATACCAAGAATTCTAATTACTAGATATTAGTAAGGATGACTAGTGATAATTTCAGGTAGATCAGTCTCAAATAGAATAAATGATGAAATATAAAATAAAATCTGTATTGCTTATGCTGCTAGCATGCCTCTGTAAAATTCCAGACCTAAGGTATTCATTAACCAATAATCTCTTAGTGGTTAGAAACAAGGATAGTATGTTGTAGTCCAAGATGTCTGCAAGACAGGATTTATGGTGGTACCCATTGTGTATAATTTTTGAATCATGACCAGAGCAGGTACGAGCCAAGAACATGTTCCTTGACCATATGTGGTCAATTTGGGGAGTGGTCGAGACCTCCGACTCATGGTCCACCTACCCAAATTACACCACCTACTCAAAAGAGAACAATAGAAGACTATAACTAAGGCTGCGTGCTAATTTGCATCAGAAGCGAGAAAAGAAGAACCACTCAGAGAGGATGAAATTAAATATGTATTGTAGAAATTAACTATGTATGAATTTAATGTATAAATATATGTTGATTGCAATGTGCTGGTGGACATCTTTGGGAAGGATCCCATGTCCCCAGTGCACATCGTTATTAAAGGATGTCTCTACTTATCTAACTTAGTATAGGTAAGTTTTTCTTACCCCCTGCAGATTTGCAACACTGGCCCCACTTCTCTGCATAAATACTTACAGTGCTGATTCACCCCAGTTAAAGCAAAAAGGCTGCAAAAATAAGACAATGGACAAAGCTGACAATTTCAAGTGAACAAGAGAACAAAACAAAACCCTGGTTATTATTGCAAGGGGATAGCAGAGAGAAAGGCT